AAACCAAACAACTTTTGTCTGAAAAATTGTTCTCTCCCGGGCTTGATTTTCAAGATATTCGACTGGATGGATTAAAATGGTCCACCCTGTATATATGTATATATACACATATATGTATATATACACATATATATACACACACACACACACACACATATATATATATATATATATATATATACATACACATTTACAAATAATATATATTTGTTAATCTTTTCTACGCACCATAGAAATCTTTCCCTATTAATGGACTAAATCTTAACTCTTATTTGAGGAACTTCAGTCGAAATAAAAATGTACTGAAGCAATGGACTGTAGATCATATATAAGGCAAGAATCACGATATCGTGTTAACATCGCATTTCCATGTTTCCTGTGTAATAACGCAGAGATCGTAGAGATACGCCGATACGCGATACATTTCACGGTAATTTACAATGAGACCGCTTGTTGTTAGTGAAAACGTTTTATTAAACTCTGAAAGTTAAAATAGCGATAGAGTTGACTTCTGCTTACAGTTTTCTGTTTAATTGTAGAATCACATACATGGTTAATATCGCCCGTATCTTGCCGCGACGTGAATAACGGTGACCATCTCATTCATTAATCCTTCATTACTACATAGAATATCTAGGACATCCCAGCCTAAATTTGTTAAATATATAAATACTATTTATACAAATGTTATTATATTTAACGCAAATTGTAATTAAAGAAAATTTATGCATGCATTTATCTTTACACGGAAAGAACGATTTTGTTGAAAGCTCTAGAAATTTTGTTCAATACAGATCTGAAAATAATTTTTTGTTGAATCATTAAAATAATTTGTTGAAATGTTAAAACTGCATTGCTACAAAACGCTTTGATATTCTAGCAATCATTTTGACTTTCGCATAAAATTATTTTGATTATTGAACAAAAATTATTTTTAGATCTGCATCCAGTAAAATTGTTCTTTCCGTGTAGATATACTAAAAAATGTACAGAATAATTATCACTTTTATTTAATTCATAAATATTCGTAAATTAAGTAAATCGTCAAAAAGAGCAATAAAAATTCAGATATAATATTAGGATGTTAGAAATATCCTCGCGAATAATTACGTTAATTTTAAAAAAATACGCGAATAACGTAGGATTATAGAAGTGCTGCCGAGAGTAATCGCTTCCTACTTGTTAATCGACGAATTGGCGAGCGACGAGAACGATCACCGTCGATTACGATGCGCCGAGATGCTCTCGCCATTACAAGAAATTCGAGCAGAATGTGGTGACGAAACTTTCAAAATCGTTCGGCCGCGCGAACGGAACGTTCATAGAGTTTGCAGATATGACTCTGCGCATATGTGTAACAATATAATTATAATTATATTATATATATATATATATATATATATACCTATAGGAAGATTAGAGTGTATACATATAATATTGTATAATAAGTTTATACAAAATCTGAAAGATCGTCTTCTGAAAAAAGCACTTTTTTTGCACCTTCGCCTTTGCGCTCGCCTCTCTCATTCGTAATAATTGGTCGTCGATATAATGCGCAAATATACATACTACAGAGTGTAGAAGAGACAAAGTTGTCGCTATCATAGATTTACAAGAAGCCGCAATTTCTCCTCTAACAAGCCTAGCGCTATTATATCCTCTCGCGCACGATGAGATGAAATAGATAATGACAATATATAAATATACGGATATAAAAATTAATACAATTACGAATATATATAAAAAAAACGATATACGGCCTTGAGTGTGTGTGTGTGTGTGTGTGTGTGTGTGTGTGTGTGTGTGTTCGTTCGTTTATATTTATGGTGTCCCCGTTAGAAATAATTAGTCGAATCGACGTCGATAGCACTAGTCAATCAATGTTGATTCGATCAATATAATTTCTGGTTGGGGTATTACAAGACTTCGAGCGTTCAATCGTGCAGATCGCAAAATGGCTTGCGAAAATCCCGTTCGTCGACTCCCTCGTGGACAAAGTCGAAGAGAACTGTCGAAACGACGCTCGCATTAGCAAAAGAAAAAAAAAAGGATTTTCAAGTATACAAACACGATGAAAGAACGCAACATGAAACAAAATTGGTGCGCTGAACCACTGCTGCACGCAGTACGAACAATTCTGCTGAAGTATCTAAAAATTTAGATAGATACGATTCTGAAAATAATTGTCTGGATCACACACATCGAAATAATTATGTAAAAAATTCTGAAGCGTGAGGAATGCTTGCAATAAGTTTTGACATTCTAGCTATCAGTTTGAGTGTTTTACATAATTATTTCGATGATTTTAACAAAATTATTTTCAGATCTGTATCTAACTAAATTTTTAAATACCTTATAGAAATCCAATTTAATACTACCTAATTTAATATCGGAAATTAATAGGTAGGATTTATTTTAAAAGCATTAAACAACAGTGTTCTTAAAACTAAAAATAAATAATTAATGCTTACTTTTCAGTATTAGGTAAAAGCAATGAAATTCTGTTTTTTCCGTGCGGAAACCAAATAATTTATCAATCGCAGGCGCACGAGCCTAATATAACAATAAGATCTCGTTGTTTACTAGCAAAAGATCAATGAACACACGAACCTTCGGATTGATTCGTTTTCTTCGTGTCATGTAC